GAGGTTCTAGCAACAGGAATATCTGGAATGGGACGAGCCTCTGACAAACAGGAATGTCTGGAATGGGACGAGCCTCTGGACAACAGGAATGTCTGGAATGGGACGGCCTCTCCAGGTATGGGGGAATGGGTTGATCCTCTGTTAGGGAGAATGTTGGAATGAGACGAGCCTCTGGTAACGGAATGTCTGGAATGGGACGAGCCTCTGGCAACGGGAATGTCTGGAATGGGACGAGCCTCTGGCAACAGGAATGTCTGGAATGGGACGAGCCTCTGGCAACGGGAATGTCTGGAATGGGACGAGGTTCTGGCAACGGGAATGTCTGGATTGGGACGAGCCTCTGGCAACAGGAATATCTGGAATGGGACGAGGTTCTAGCAACAGGAATGTCTGGAATGGGACGAGCCTCTGGCAACAGGAATATCTAGAATGGGACGAGGTTCTAGCAACAGGAATGTCTGGAATGGGACGAGCCTCTGACAACAGGAATGTCTGGAATGGGACGAGCCTCTGACACGAGCGGGAGGAATTGCATATTTTGTTCATATAATAATTATTTATTTGTGGATTTATTTTTGTTTTCGTAACATTAGTGAATATTTTGAAACAATGCTGTTTATAGTAATAATAACAATAATATTGAAGGTGAAGGAAATAACCAATATATGCGTAAGTGTATTAAAAAAATCGGATGTAACCTTCCTTTCTCAATATACAATATACAATGTATACTGTATACAATATACAATGTTTTTATTTATTTATTTATTTATTTATTTATTTATTTATTTATACAATAGTTCTTACATTCTTGTACATATCGTTTTGGGCAAGTCCTTAATCCAATGCTATGCGGAATACGACCCGCCAAATCGTTTAACAATAAAGTACCTATTTTACTGTTAGGTTAAACAGAGGCTACAGTTAAGAATTGACGCCCAGTAAATACTTCCCCGGACAGGATACGAACCCATGACAAAGAGCTCGCGAATCGCCATGCGAGCGTCTTACCACTACGCCATGGGGACTGTTTGAGAAGATTTTTGAATAAGAAGATTGTTGAATTAGATTTTTGAAGAATTATTTGTAATATATTTGAAGTTACGTGATGATAATTAATTGTAATTATTATTATGAGAATTGTAATAAGAACACTAATGATGCATGTTGTTAAACAATGGAAGACAATAAAGGAAAAATGTAACAGAACCGTTTTGGCCGAAAGTTCAGCTCACATGACAGTTTTGAGGCAAGAGCTGCACTTATCATGCCACACACTGGTGAGGGATACTTACTGACCGTGAAGTTACTTCTGCAGGGAGGGAGGGAGGGAAGGAAGGAGAGATAAGGAGGGAGGGAGAGAGGGAGCGTGGAAGGGGGGAGAAGGAGCAGTTGAGTGAGAGAAGTGAGGCAAATTCCATATTTCGTTCTCTGTGAATCTGTTCTCCATTTTTTTTATCTTCGAATTTTATTCTTTTGCATGTAACTTGCGTTTTATTAGTTTATAGAATAAACTAACTCGGAGATTCTCTCTGCCTGGATTTTCACTGCTGTGTAGTTGTTCCTTGTTTGTGTGTACTTCCTAGGTGTACTTACCTAGTTGTGCTTGCGGGGGTTGAGCTCTGGCTCTTTCGGCCCGCCTCTCAACTGTTACTAATTATTTTTTTTTTACACACACACACACATAGGGGCCAGTGGGTGACTGGACAGCACGCTGGACGCGTGATCCTGTGGTCCCGGGTTCGATTCCCGGCGCCGGCGAGAAACAATGGGCAGATTTTCTTTCACTCTATGCCCCTGTTACCTAGCAGTAAATAGGTACCTGGGAGTTAGTTAGCTGTCACGGCTGCTTCCTGGTGTGTGTGTGTGTGTGTGTGTGTGTGTGTGTGTGTGTGTGTGTGTGTGTGTGTGTGTGTGTGTGTGTGTGTGTGTGTGTGTGGTGTGGTGTGGGGAAAAAACAGTAGTAACAGTTGATTGATAGTTGAGAAGCGGGACCAAGGAGCCGAAGCTCAACCCCCGCAAGCACAACTAGGCGAGTACACGCAGGCGTCTGTAAAAAATGTAGATGAGTGAGGTGTGTTGGAGGCACAGGAGAGGGAGGATGCATGTCTGTTGGGTGATTCATTCCTTCTCAGGCTGGACCCTCCCCTGTGGCCAGCCTCACCCTGTGGCTCAACCCTGGGGCCAGCCTCACCCTGTGGCTCAGTGCCAGGCTGGACCCTCCCTGGGGCCAGCATCACCCTGTGGCTCAGTGCCAGGCTGGACCCTCCCTGGGGCCAGCATCACCCTGTGGCTCAGTGCCAGGCTGGACCCTCCCTGGGGCCAGCATCACCCTGTGGCTCAGTGCCAGGCTGGACCCTCCCTGGGGCCAGCCTCACCCTGTGGCTCAGTGCCAGGCTGGACCCTCCCTGGGGCCAGCCTCACCCTGTGGCTCAGTGCCAGGCTGGACCCTCCCTGGGGCCAGCATCACCCTGTGGCTCAGTGCCAGGCTGGACCCTCACTGGGGCCAGCCTCACCCTGTGGCTCAGTGCCAAGCTGGACCCTCCCTGGGGCCAGACTCACCCTGTGGCTCAGCGCCAGGCTAGATCCTCCCTGAGGCCAGACTCACCCTGTGGCTCAGTGCCAAGCTGGACCCCAGAGGGCCACATGTCACCTGTACATGTATGAGAGACTGTATGCACACACATGTAATATACACTCCTGTTTATATGGAAAAATGTTAAACCAATATGGATGGGTATGATAAAAACACACAAAAAACGTTTTTTAGCAGTTAATATGAGCAAAAATTAGGGTGTGTGACTATCTTAATGCCTGCATAAAAGGATAAATACAATATAACTATTGTGCTAAATCATAGCACAAGGAAGCTTAATAATATGTGTAAAATACACATATTGTACACAAATATGTGCAAAATACAATACGCAGTGAGACACATTTTGAGGTACGTGAGGTGTGCAAGATGGGAAAAAATAACACGTGAAAAACTTTTTTTTAGCAGATGAAGAGACGAAGGAAAAATAGAGGAGAATAGGAGGTAATTCCTTTGAAAGGTTGAAAGAAGGAGTTTGAAAGCTCACATTGTCTGCAGACTTATGTTCATATTTATGTATTTATGTTATTATTACTCTCTGGACTGAAGAGCAGGAGGGGGGGGAATATAGAGGTCTATTTGTGCGTGTGTGTGTGTGTGTGTGTGTGTGTGTGTGTGTGTGTGTGTGTGTGTGTGTGTGTGTACTTACCTAGATGTATTTGAAAGGGTTGAGCATCAGTTTCCCGCCCAGCCTTCCGAACAACAACTTTTTTTGTGTAATGCAATAACGCAGTTCCCAGTGGGGAAGGTGGTGGTGGTGGTAGTTGAGGTGGTGGTTGTGGCAAGGTAGAAGGTGGTGGTGGCCAGGTAGAAGGTGGTGGTGGCCAGGTAGAAGGTGGTGGTGGTAAGGTAGAAGGTGGTGGTGGTAAGGTAGGTGGTGATGGTGGTGGTCGTAGCGGCAAAGATGGTGGTGGTGGTGGTGGTGGTGGTTAGGTAGAAGGTGGGGGGGGGTGGAGGCGGTGATGAAGTGGTGACAGACTCATCTTGATGGGAAGTGAGAGTGGCAGCGGTGTCCCGTGTCGTCACCGGATGCTGACGCAATCATCGGGTTATATAACTTGAAAAGTCTTGCAATGATGCAATCTGCACGTCACCGTGGTAAGCAGATACATCAATACAACCTTAATACAATCGTGGCGAACAGGTGTCAAACCCAACAAACACACAAACTCACCAATCGATTGAAGGATGAGAGCCGGGACTGAGGAGCTCAAGCTCTGTCAAAAATATATTCATAAGAGAGAGAGAGAGAGAGAGAGAGAGAGAGAGAGAGAGAGAGAGAGAGAGAGAGAGAGAGAGAGAGAGAGAGAGAGAGAGAGAGAGAGAGAGAGAGAGAATAAACTGTAAGTTATGGAATATATTGGCTCATCAGACACCTTGGGTGTCTTCTCTATACAAATAAAATGACGAATCAACTCCTTTAACCTATGTGCCACCGACGTCAAAAGCTGCTGACTGACGCTAGTACAGTGAGGGGAACCCCGAGCCCCACAGTACCCCGTGTTTCACTGTTCCTGACACAGTGTTCCCTGCCTCAGTTATTGTGTTAATAAACTGGCAAACTTCCTGCCCATTATGAAAATGCAATTGAAACTTTGCTCATTCGTTTTGAAAACTACACGACGGGAAGCAGTTTATTCCGACGTCGGCGGGTCTGTAACTTAGTTAATTATCGGGAAGCTAATTTGCTATTTTTATTCTTGTACCCGAAATTGTGTGGCGTTTGCCTCCTACCGTGGTTATGTCCCTCCCTCTGTGTTGTGCAGGAACACCTTGGTCCAACAAATCCACAAGGGCAGTGACGAGGATTCGAACCTGCGTCTGGGAGCATCTCAAACACTGCCTTAATCGACTGAGCTACGACAGGGTAAAAGGGTTGAAACCGAAGTTCAACTGAACTTACTGGATCCCGTAGCCTCTCCGAGGCACAAACCCAGACGCAGGTTCGAATCCTCGTCACTGCCCTTGTGGATTTGTTCACCTTGGTCGGTCTGCCCTCCGTCAAACCTCTGGGGACCACCCCGGAGGATGGTCCCCAGGGGAAATACATGGGACATTTCCCTGGGTAAGTCTCATTTCCACAGGGGAAATATAATACAGCCTTTATTTTATAAATACTTGAAAATTCCAAGCACCTTGGCTGAAACTTGAGCCTCGACTCATGTGATGCAAAGCTGAGTGCTGTACCACTCACTGGACCATCACACTACAAAAATCAAGGGACAGTATTTTTTAAACTAATTCAACCTCATGCCTGGTTTCATTCGGCTTTCATGGTCAACTAGTTCATCAAGTCCTGGTTTAGACAACGGCAAATACACTATATCAAATGATTTTATATAGTTTTTAGTTTTCCGTTTACAATTTACAAAACTGATTGGTTACAATATTTTCTCCTCGGCAGTGTCCGAGAAGCTGAAGGTTCCTGGTCTTGGCCCATACAATGTCACTTTCCTGGGCAACACAACTGCCGTAACGTCAACTGTGGCGGGGGCGGCGACCCCGGCAGGACAGCCGGCCACCGCCCCGACCAGCCACGCCCCCTCCTCTCCCGGCGTCAACTCCAGCCACAAGTTAGTTTTTACCATCGACCAGGGCGTCCCCCGCCCCGCCACGCCCAAGATCTACGTCATCACGCCCACATATCGACGACCTGAGCAGGTATGTGGGGCCACATATGTCCAATATAAGTTAACTAACACAACTATACTGTATCTTTAGCATCTGTATCATATTACATCTGATGTGCGAACGCATATTTAGTTATATATAATATACAAGGTGTTTAATGTTGACTGTTTGGGGTAAATTCCGTCTAACGTAAATCAAAATACAATAGTTTTGAAAGTAAAGGTTGTTCTGTAATGTTCAGCTTTTAAAACAAAGAAGTTGTTTGGTTTTGTGACGAGGAAAAATTAAGGTGCGATGTTGAGTAAAGTCAACACAAGTTTCTGCACACCCCAGAGAAACAGTCCAATGTAATCTTAATAAAAGTAATTCAGTATATTAACGATAAAGGAGTATTGTAGTCCTCATGTAAATAAAAATATTTCATATAACAATGTTATACACATGTTATCGTACCAAACTGCCATCCCAGCGACCCAGAATTCGAAGCTTCCTGAAAAGTATCAATTCGTTTTTAATTTGACTTGGATCAGTTTCTGTGTAGTATTGTACGTATCAATGTCCCCACCAGCGGGGTTGTGAAAGGTCTAACTGGCTCATAGATACCCAACAATATATATATATATATATATATATATATATATATATATATATATATATATATATATATATATATGTATATATATATATATATATATATATATATATATATATATATATATATATATATATATATATATATATATATATACCTTCCTAATTTACTCGGTCTGAGGAATTAGGATCTTCCCATATATATACCTTCGGTCTCGGACTGTACATTCAAGAGCAGGTTGAGTGCGAAAACGTTGGGTCCTGCAATGCGTGTAGGAAAGTTTGTCTGGTAGATTAAATCATTAAGGTAAACCAACCGCTCGGTTAAGTGAAGTTACGCTGAGAGATGGCTGTAGGAGATAGCTAGGTGAATAAAGCGGTTGGGAGATCGACCGGTTATAGCTCCTCCCTGTCTGGGCCGCGTGCGGCTGGCTGCTCCCGACGGCTGGCTGCTCCCGACGGCTGCCGGAGCCGCGTGCGGCTGGTTGCTCCCGACGGCTGCCGGAGCCGCGTGCGGTTGCTGCGGTAATGCCATGCCAGAACTGTCCCATCCCAGCTGCACCGGCAAGCTCAACTTGCCACGTTGGATTGTTAGAGTTCAGGATGGTGCCTGCCACCTGGTAACTTACAGTGGCTTGGAGCCTCAAGTGTCTGGTGCAGTGCTGTTTATCGTATCCGGGGCCAAGTGCTGTTATACAGCAGTACAGTGCCAGAACACGTGCTGGTTTATACCTCTAACAGAGCCACTATGACATATTAGTATACCCGATACTACCTGGGGTACGGTCACATCGTACTCAGTCAGTTCCACTCACAGCTACTTTTCTGATGTTTAAAACTGTAATGTTAGGATAAGTGACGTTACCTTACGTTGGGTTAGCGTCCAGGGTCCGTCCACGAACCGTCCAATGTACAGAGTAATATATATATCTGTCTAGCCAATAACTGATATGGTGGGAAATCCAGTAACATTTTCCTAGTCATTGATGATTATTTACTTCCATAATACTGTTCTTTAACGTACTCCAAACCCCGGTAAATCAATTATCAAGACAAAAACGGTCACCTACAATGACTGTAGCACTTGGAGGGAATATGAGAACAAGAAACTTGTCCTCGTATCATAGGTGTTGAAGGGTAGATATAGTGGTGAAGGATGAAAGACTAAGAGCTGGGATATAACAACAGATTAAGTGCTGGGATGTGAGAACTGACTACGAACTGTAACACGAGGAGAGATATAGTCCTCGTGTCACCCGGACCATCGGATATCGAACGCCAGCCTGGCAAGAAGCGAGGACTGTACCGACTAGTCCAAGTGGTATGCGGCCTCCTACCTGGTAGGAATCCGCCTACCAGGTAGGAGGCTTGGTAGGTCAGCCTGGTAGGTCAACAGTCGACATTTATTGGCCTGGTAAGTCAATAAACATAATAGTGCTGCTTATGTGTTTGAAGGGATTGGCTGACATGGAAATGTCATTCAAGTATATTTGCTTGATTGGTTGACGTGAGTAAGATAGATAACACAAACACACACATGGGATTTTACAAGTAATAATAATAATAACTAGTTATAAAAATACACAAAAAGTTATAGTGATTAATTAAAAGGTACAAACATTGTATAAAGCCATTAATACACACTCAAACCACACTGAGCCTCTTACAATGTAAATAAGACTGATATATATATATATATATATATATATATATATATATATATATATATATATATATAGGGGGGTACCACCACTGGTGTAATTATAGGGACCCACAGCCTCAGAGAAGGGAACACAGAGCACTCAGGGAAAAACTTGACATTTAACTCTGAATACGAAAGAGTGTTCACTTCTCCTACCACCCCCTTTTTTTTTTATTATGATGTACACTTTATTATGCAAGGTTATACAGTTACATATCTGATTTTATACAAAAAATGAACATTAAGAGGACACAAGAAAAAGTTCGCTTCCTAGAGGCTGTAGATTTCCTCGAACTCCTCCGACGCCGGGCAGGAACCGAGGATGCAGCGGGCATTTCCCCTCTGGATCGCGACACTGAGGCGCTGAAAGAGAAAACTTGCTGCTCTAGGGTCTCTTGTGGTGTCAATGAGCTTGGAACCAAGATCCTTAAGAAACCTTCTTGCACTCTCACCCCATGGGCCTAGGGTCTCAGACCCTATTGGAACGAAATTGTACCTTTGATCTAATTGCCTGTACTTGACTGACTTTTGTTTTTCTCTGTGTGTCGCTGCGGCTCCTGCCGTGCCGGCAGAGAGGGTGATGTATGTCGTTGCCAGGGTGGATACGCAAGTATAGTCCCATGCTAACTGCCTGCCACCCTTCCACGGACGCAGTGTGATTCCGTCTGGTCGGCCGGCAAAGCTAACAGAGTCACGGTTCAGTAGGTTGCGGGGCTCTCTCTCCGCTGGACACTGAGCAGAGGCAAGGCTTCTTTTAATGATGTCGTTGACTTCGTCGTGTCTAGTGTGCCAACCACCCGATTTTCCACAGTGCAGGCCATGCAATCCATATTCGTCAGCATCTGCCTCGCCGCAAATACACCTGTGAACAGTGTGGATAGGGGCAGCAAGGCGGAGAGCGACTGCAATACGGAGCTCCTGCGGATCAAGACGTGTGCCTGTCGCAGACATAGGGACTGCCAGAAGGAAGTCCCCTGCATGGGGAGCCTGCACAGCTGTGAGGCGTGCACGATCACTGGGGGTTGTTGCTGCCTCCAGCAAAGCTGTGGCTTCTTTGTCTGCAATGGGGCTGTCCCAACTGGATTGTTTCTTGGCTTTCGGCATGGCTGGTCTGAGTGCTGGGTCTGTCATGGCACCCCATTTCGTGTCACATTCCGTGTAGTGGGGGTCCTGTATCCCCGCTACATCACTCAGGGTGTCAGGTAGAATTTCCTTAACCAGGTCATCTGATGCTGAGGAGGAAGACAGGAAGGCTGGGACTGCAATTTGGGTGGCGGTGCGGACACCCAAGCCACCGAGCCTGACAGGAAGAGTGGCTTGTTTCCACTGGCATTCGTTGAGAGAGAGGTTAACAACTTTTTCCAGCATGGTCTTCAGTAGGAGGTCATACTCGTCAAGCTTTGGGTTGTTGTAAGATGGGGCGCACCTCAGAAAGTAGGTTAGCCTCGGAAGGGATAGGCATTTGGTGAGGAGATAAAAAGCATCGTGGGCATCGATGTCACCTATTCTGTCTTCCATCCTCCTAAGGTCTGCGATTTTCTTGTCGAGGATCTCCTCAATGGCGTTAGACCCGAGGGGAGCTCCAAGGAGGGTGCTGTTCTCGGCCCTAATGACATGGGCTCCAGGCAAGGCAGACCTTATTCTAGCTACGATGTCTGGGTTGGAGGAGACTACTTCACACTTGGAAGGGTTCAGGACGAGACCCAGGCTTACTTCTTGCTCCCTTATTTTCCTGATATCTGACAAGAGGTGGTCTACGGTGCCAGCTATAGTGCCATCATCCAAAAACCAGATGTTGAACTCGCTGGACAAGCTTTCGGTGATTTCTTTTAAGACTAAGCAGAAAAGAAGGGGAGCAAGAGGATCACCTTGCTGAACACCTTCACATGATCTGATTTCATGTTCACCAAAGAGCAGTTTTGACTCGCCACTGTAGCACGATAGTATGAACGGGTAGAGGGGCCGGAAATGGCGATGTACGGCACAAAGTACTGCATCTCTTCTTACCATGTTGAAGGCATTCTTAAAGTCCAGTTTGAGCAGGGCCTTTTCATCAGAAATGTTTGTGATGTATGCTCGTGCTGCATGGGCAGCCGCTTCACAGCCTTGGGGGATTCCAAATCCTAGCTGGATTGGTTTCAGCAATTCAGCCGCTTGCATATATATATATATATATATATATATATATATATATATATATATTGGTTCTTGCACTATTATCAACATATTAAACAATGATATATTATTTAAAATACTTGGATGTGAATATTCTCATAATAGAAAATGTTCGCATTCACTTTAACACCGCGTAGCGAATATTAATGTGGCTATTTTCGTCCTTTTGATACACTTGGTTCCCAGCGCGAGCAAGTTTGGCCACTCAGAGCTTGCCCCAACAGTGCCTGCGGGTGGAGGGGGGCCCCAACAGTGCCTGCGGGTGGAGGGAGGCCCCAACAGTGCCTGCGGGTGGAGGGGGGCCCCAACAGTGCCTGCGGGTGGAGGGGGGCCCCAACAGTGCCTGCGGGTGGAGGGGGGCCCCAACAGTGCCTGCGGGTGGAGGGGGGCCCCAACAGTGCCTGCGGGTGGGGGGGCCCCAACAGTGCCTGCGGGTGGAGGGGGGCCCCAACAGTGCCTGCGGGTGGAGGGGGGCCCCAACAGTGCCTGCGGGTGGTGGGGGGCCCCAACAGTGCCTGCGGGTGGTGGGGGGCCCCAACAGTGCCTGCGGGTGGAGGGGGGCCCCAACAGTGCCTGCGGGTGGAGGGGGGCCCCAACAGTGCCTGCGGGTGGAGGGGGGCCCCAACAGTGCCTGCGGGTGGAGGGGGGCCCCAACAGTGCCTGCGGGTGGAGGGGGGGGTCCCAACAGTGCCTGCGGGTGGAGGGGGCCCCAACAGTGCCTGCGGGTGGAGGGGGGCCCCAACAGTGCCTGCGGGTGGAGGGGGGCCCCAACAGTGCCTGCGGGTGGAGGGGGCCCCAACAGTGCCTGCGGGTGGAGGGGGGACCCAACAGTGCCTGCGGGTGGAGGGGGGCCCCAACAGTGCCTGCGGGTGGAGGGGGGCCCCCAACAGTGCCTGCGGGTGGAGGGGGCGGGTGGAGGGGGGCCCCAACAGTGCCTGCGGGTGGAGGGGGGCCCCAACAGTGCCTGCGGGTGGAGGGGGGCCCCCAACAGTGCCTGCGGGTGGAGGGGGCTCCCAACAGTGCCTGCGGGTGGAGGGGGCCCCCAACAGTGCCTGCGGGTGGAGGGGGGCCCCAACAGTGCCTGCGGGTGGAGGGGGCCCCAACAGTGCCTGCGGGTGGAGGGGGGCCCCAACAGTGCCTGCGGGTGGAGGGGGGCCCCCAACAGTGCCTGCGGTTGGAGGGGGGGCTCCAACAGTGCCTGCGGGTGGAGGGGGGCCCCAACAGTGCCTGCGGGAGGAGGGGGGGCCCCAACAGTGCCTGCGGGTGGAGGGGCGCTCTAACAGTGCCTGCGGGTGGAGGGGGGGGCTCCAACAGTGCCTGCGGGTGGAGGGGGGCCCCAACAGTGCCTGCGGGTGGAGGGGGGCCCCAACAGTGCCTGCGGGTGGAGGGGGGCCCCAACAGTGCCTGCGGGTGGAGGGGGGGTTCCAACAGTGCCTGCGGGTGGAGGGGGTCCCCAACAGTGCCTGCGGGTGGAGGGGGCCCCCAACAGTGCCTGCGGGTGGAGGGGGGCCCCAACAGTGCCTGCGGGTGGAGGGGCGCTCCAACAGTGCCTGCGGGTGGAGGGGGGGCTCCAACAGTGCCTGCGGGTGGAGGGGGGCCCCAACAGTGCCTGCGGGTGGAGGGGGGCCCCAACAGTGCCTGCGGGTGGAGGGGGGCCCCAACAGTGCCTGCGGGTGGAGGGGGGGTTCCAACAGTGCCTGCGGGTGGAGGGGGCCCCCAACAGTGCTTGCGGGTGGAGGGGGGCCCCCAACAGTGCCTGCGGGTGGAGAGGCGCTCCAACAGTGCCTGCGGGTGGAGGGGGGCCCCAACAGTGCCTGCGGGTGGAGGGAGGCCCCAACAGTGCCTGCGGGTGGAGGGGGGCCCCAACAGTGCCTGCGGGTGGAGGGGGGCCCCAACAGTGCCTGCGGGTGGAGGGGGGGTTCCAACAGTGCCTGCGGGTGGAGGGGGTCCCCAAAAGTGCCTGCGGGTGGAGGGGGCCCCCAACAGTGCCTGCGGGTGGAGGGGGGCCCCAACAGTGCCTGCGGGTGGAGGGGGGCCCCAACAGTGCCTGCGGGTGGAGGGAGGCCCCAACAGTGCCTACGGGTGGAGGGGGGCCCCAACAGTGCCTGCGGGTGGAGGGGGGCCCCAACAGTGCCTGCGGGTGGAGGGGGGCCCAAACAGTGCCTGCGGGTGGAGGGGGGCCCAACAGTGCCTGCGGGTGGAGGGGGGCCCAACAGTGCCTGCGGGTGGAGGGGGCCCCAACAGTGCCTGCGGGTGGAGGGGGCCCCAACAGTGCCTGCGGGTGGAGGGGGCCCCAACAGTGCCTGCGGGTGGAGGGGGCCCCAACAGTGCCTGCGGGTGGAGGGGGGCACCAACAGTGCCTGCGGGTGGAGGGGGGCACCAACAGTGCCTGCGGGTGGAGGGGGGCCCCAACAGGCCTGCGGGCAGGGGACAGAGGTCCAGTTCAAGATGCCTCCCCTACTACCTTATTTAAGATTTTTTTTATATAATCCTTAGTGATAAAAGGCTTCAGCCGTCAATGTTTTACCTCCTGCAGGTGGCGGAGTTGACACGACTAGCGCAGACGCTTATGCTGGTGCCTAACCTGCACTGGTTGGTGGTGGAGGACGCCATTGCCCCCACCAGGAGGGTACTGGCCTTCCTCGACTCCTGCAGCGTCCCTCACACCTACCTTCTGGGTGAGCCACGTCACTGTCGCTGAGGTCCCCGCAAGGACAGTCCTGAAGACCAGTGAACAAAGACACACCTTCGTTCACGCTTCGATGGAAAGCTTGTGTTGTGTTTATTTCCTCTGTGAGCTTTGGATATGTAATATTCAACCTAGATGTGACTGAACCAGGATGTTATAATCCTTCATAAGTTAAACAGTAACGTAAACGAAGTGGAAGTCCTTTTTCGTACACGTCACACAAACCAGAACGTTACAAGAAGCTATTTTTTTCCACATAACAACAAGAAAAGAAAACAAAATATTCAATCCTAGCAAATCCCTAGTTTATATTTAAAACCAAATTTATTCGAACAATATCCAGTTTACCAATTAATCTGTTGAACATGACATATTCATGGTCTAGAGCAAGACATATACGCTTGTACTTAACATATCAAGCGGGAGTTAGAAGCTATGTAAGGACCACAAGGTGTGTGCACAATAATTTTAAACTAACTTAAAAAAAAAGTATATATGACCTTTGCAAACGATCGGCCAATGACAAGAAAATATATATATATGTATTTGCGTAATTATATATATATATATATATATATATATATATATATATATATATATATATATATATATATATATTATTTACCTCTGGGGTACTTTAAGGCCACCATAATAGCTTACTGACCAATTAACAAGCTTACTTTAGAACAGAAGTTAAAGTACACTCTCACTGGAGTGGAAAATCTTGTATTTTTTGCCGTTACTGATGAAGGACCAACGGAGTAATACTGTGTCTCTTCTCTTCCTCTCCCGCTGCCGGCACCAACACACCGTGGGGCGGCAGGCACGGCGTCACGAAGGTACAAAGGCGCCAACAAACCTCGGGGCGTCAGCAACCGCAACGCTGGCCTCAAGTGGCTTAAAGGACACGTTAAGGAAGGCGTCATCTACTTCGCCGACGACGACAACACTTACGATTACCGCATCTTTCAAGAGGTAAGTGGTCTCCACCTCGGCAATGTATCTCACTGTAGCTACTGAGAAGGGTATTGGTGCTCGTATTTAGCTATTTTTTTGTGATACCTACCTCTAGGAGAGCTGTAATTACCATGCAATAGTAGTAGTGTATGGTACCAGTAGTTAGCAGTACAAGTGTTGCTAACTACTAAGATTTATTGGAAAATAAGCAAGTGATCATACACGTCTACTCTCTTGATAGCGGCAAATTAAACACAACTGTGTTGATCTCGTCCTTATGCTTTGTCTGATAAGGTGAATATTTGTCTTAATACTGTATGCGCACCAACACTAGTCTCCATTCTGCTCACACACCACCACAACCAATCTTCCTTCCTCTCCACGCTGTGTAATATTGCTCGTCCTCCCCAGATCCGCGCCACGAAGCAGGTGTCCATGTTCCCCGTGGGTCTGGTCACGCGGCTGGGGGTGTCCTCGCCCATAGTGTCCGGTGGCAAGCTCATCGGCTTCTACGACGGCTGGATCGCCGGCAGAAAGTTTCCCGTCGACATGGCCGGCTTCGCAGTCAATGTTCAGTTCTATCTTAAGGTTCGTGATTCTTAGGTAAAACGGTGCAGCTGTTGTGGCTTCGTATCAAGATTTAATCTGTATGAAAATATGCATAGCAAAAGCACCATGATTTGTTATTTTTTATATTTTTAGTGTCTTTTTTAGAGTGGATTTTAGTGTGTAGTTGTGCAGGTGTGTAGTCACTCAGATATGTCTTGGGAAGTCAAGCTTCGGCTCTTGATTCGGACTCTGAACCTTCAGTTAAGATTTACCACATCCACATATCATTCCATGGATGAAGTCAATGTCCAATTCCCTCTATTTATATCCATTTTCTTCCAGCACAATCTAAAAGCTCTTTCTGAAAACTTTAGGACTGTTCAGAATGGTCAGCTCTCGGGTGTATCCCGCAGCCCATTGAAGACTTTTTTCTTCACCTTGTCTATGGATCGGCACGGTGAAGAAAAAAATCATTTGTACATCGTTTTGATATTCTTTTTTGTACTACACTCTTCTAGCTTCGTTATCATTATGGTAACAAATATGTGCATTGTAAGATCACGACTCCATGCCAGTCCTGTATCCTACAAGACTGCATATACTAACCATGCATAGAGCCAAAGCTCAGCCCCGCCAGTACAACTAGGTCAGTACAATGCCAAAGTAGAGGACAGCACAGATATACACACAGTTGTGCCAGTGAGAAGGAAGTATATATATATATATATATATATATATATATATATATATATATATATATATATATATATATATATATATATATATATATATATACAGTGGTACCATTGTGAAGGGCAGCATAGATGCATATGTTGTCTAATATAGATACCATAATTGTTATCTAATTTCTATCTTGCAACATATTATATTTTCAGAGGCATGACAAAATACTTACTGAAATATCATTACGACAGAGAAATGCTCCTTTGATGCCATACAACGTGGGATTCGAAGAGGACGGCTTCCTTAAGGCCCTGAAGATCAAGCCTGAGGACATAGAACCTCTTGCTAACAACTGTACCAAGGTAAGCTGAATCATTACTGCCCGCCACCCTAATCCATTTGCTCGACATAACATCCTTTTTCTCATATCATACCATCCCCTACTTCCCCTTATTTTTCACTTTGAGTATTTTCATAAATATCTTGACAGTGTTTCCTTAATTCTTATCTATATACCTGTCTACATCTCATACACACGTGGGAAAAATATGATCTTTTATTTAATACAATACGTTTTCGTACTCGTCAGACCCTCCAAAATGTGGATATAGGCCTTCATGTCTTTAAAAAATGGCTATTTCTTTTTTCAGATTCTCGTCTGGCACACCCGGACGGTGAAGAGCCTACCGGCCTTAAAGATGCCTGATTCTGATAAGGTTACCAAAACCAATCTTAACCATCTCAAATCTCAAATGGTCTTTCAACTGCCTTATGGACTATCTTAGTTACTCTAATACCCCAACTATGGGTATTATATACATAGAATGTATCATTAGTGTTATTTTGCACTCCAGAAGTATTGCGGGGGAACAAATGAGCATTTTTTAGGTAAATAGGATCACTGGTCATCTTCATCTCGAATACTGTAGTTAGGCTTTTCTTAGACTGACGAAGATGGTTCAATGCTATCATTGAAAACATGTGATTCTTTGTGTGTATGAACATAGTAGGTTAATATATCCCTAATTAGAAGGCTATTTCTATGTAGGAAAAATTAAGACCAAAATTACATGATAAAATAATTTTAATTAACTGAATACCAAAAAAGTCATGACATTTGTTAAAGATTAACCTACTCATTTTACTCTTCCAAACGGAAAACCATTACTTTCCTTCGTGAACATTGTGATACAAACAAAAATCAGGCATTAGTTACATTTTATATTTTTGTCACGGTTCCTAACATGAAAGACCGAGTTGTTCTCGACGCCCGACTGCACAGAGAGGAAGGACCCCCCGGCCCATGGCTGGGATTGGACATGGTGAGGCTCTAAGTTATGGGAAGCAGTAGAGACTCTGGTTGGCCTTTGTTAACAGAGAATAATGCTGTATGACAACTGATCTTGGTAAGACTGCCGCAAAGATGCACCAACCAATCCGTGAGGTGTGGGAGTGAGGGTTGCTCCTTCAGAACTTTTAACAACATGCGTTTAATAATCCAGTTTCAGGACATTAATAGAGACAAAATTTATGAGATTTTGAGAGATCTCCCCCTCACACTGTGAGACCCTAAATTGTTGATTAGCATATTCTTAAATCCGGTCCTGGACCACCCGCTAATGGGTTTTCCTCAGTGTAGGAAATTGTAGGAGGGTCCAGACAACTCATCTGAGATAGTCACACGCTGCTTATTAATTTTAGAGTATTTTCATCTTCAACTAAGAAGGTGTAGACACGTTGTCATCAGAGATTATCACTCGTCTTTTGTTTTGGATTATATGGAAATCTTAACGTTTAGGTTCTTATAACATGGAGATTATACTATAGGAGGAAGAAAACTCACCATCTCCACATGTTACAGCAAATGAAATGGCGAGAGCTTCCCAGCAGCAGGTCTTGAGTTTATTATTAATTAAACTCAAGCAAAAGCCTTCTAGCATGTCGTGACACCTCTTCAATTATCTAGCAGCTGTGCTATATTTAGTTTCTTTTCGCAATCAAGAGGAGCAATAGTCACCAAACATGCAAGAACACAAAAAAAAAATTATGTGAAGATTACAGATAATGCTCATTCCTGAGGTCCAGACGTATGAATATAACAAACCTCTAAACGTGTTTGTGGCTTTTGTAGAAATGAACAATTTACCCACCAAAAGTTTTACAAATCCAATTCTACGTTCTTAATTTTTTTTTATATAATATCAATGAAGCGATGTGAGTGGAGGAATTTGTTTTCCGAAGTGCAAGGTAATTATAGATAATGATAGTCCTTTTGGGGGAATAGCAAGAGTTATCTTAACATATCTGCTAATAAGCTTAAAATCGATTCGGGAAGGTTGTGATAGTGGAGAAAAGTAGAACGCATTACTATCCTATCATTCGTGTACTATCATTTCAATTATATCACTCTTCTGTAATTATGTGTATGTTATATTCCTGTCCTATTATTCCTATCCAACCATTCTCGTCATATCAATACTGTCATATTATTCATGTCATAATTCCTAACAATTCTATCCTCTTTCGATGAAAAAATAAGTAAGCAGAAAGCTTTCTTATCCTATAATGTTTAGTATATCATTCCGGCTATCCTATCATTCCTATCCTATCATTTCCGTCCTATCATTTCTATCCCTCCATTCCTGTCCTATCGTTCCTGTCCTTTCCCTACGAAAAGGAAGCAGACTGAGCATGGCACAACAGACAGGTCCATACAGTATGGGTAGACACAATGAGGTTAAGAATCGGTATTTGCCGAAGAAAAAATTCCTTGAAAATTTAAGGGCTGGGTGGAGAACGAATGCCTAACATAATATTACCAATAGAACTGACGTTAGATTTTTACAAATTCCAGTAAATATTATTGGCTGTCATTTAAATATGCGTACAAATCTATATTTGAGGAGCTTTTATCCACAGGACACTTTGTGATATAATTCAATATTAAAACGACAATGTTGGGTTATTCGATTTAATTTATTTCTTGTCGATGAGAGTAGTGACCGTTGTTATTTTCACTGTAAGTTTCGTTTGGTGTTGAGTATTTATTTATTTATTTATATACAAGAGTTCTTACATTCTTGTGAAGCCACTAGCACGCATAGCGTTTCGGACAAGTCCTTGACCCTAATTTTTCCCGGAATGCGACCCGCCAAATCGTTTAACAACCAGGTACCCATTCACTGCTGGGTGAACAGAGGCTACAGTTAAGGACTGGCTCCAAGTAAATCCTCCCCGACCAGGATACGAACTCAGGCTAAAACGCTCGTGAAACGCCAGGCGAGTGTGTTACCATACCGCCACGGGGACTGCAAGGAATGGTGCCCAACCACTTGGATGGTCGGGGATTGAAGGCCGACCTTCATGAAGCGAGACCGTCCAGCCCAAGTGGTTAGGCAAGGTCTGTCAACCTCTGGAGGACTATTAAGGTCGCCATAATAGTTTATTGACCAAATATCAAATATACTTTAGCCCAAAAGATAGTTTAGGACTCGAGTAAACTCTACACTGTTAAGTGCGGGTATACCATTCGATGTATATAACAATAACATTTTATTTAGGAAAAGTACATACATAGATGCAGAGTTACAAACATACTCTTGGATATATAGATAGAGCTAGTACATATATGTATATATAAATAGAGCTATTACATACAATGCCTAAAGCCACTAATACGCATAGCGTTTCGGGCAAACTAATATAATATTCCTGTTGCCTGCATGTGACATCATACAGGTTTCGGACCATATCCAAGTGTTTTTGTAAAGTTTTCGGGTTAAGTCTTAAGTCTACAGTACACCACTCTCGATGATAACGTCTTCAACCATTGAATAGAGTTACAACCTGTAGGTAGGTCGAGCCTTTATTGCTGACTGTAGGTCAGCTGGCAGAAGCCTATCGTTGGTAGGTCGAGCCTTCCTGTAACCTGTAGGTAGGTCGAGCCTGTGGCCACACACACTAATACTTTTCCGATATCGTGCAACATTTGAGCTTTTTTATGTGATGATTTGTCAAAAAAGTATTTTTTGTTTTTAAATTTATGCATGTCTAAATCTTACACCCCCAACTTTTACATATGCATTTAAAGATTTCTAATCCAGTAGATGGGTAATGTTTTCTGTTGTGTAATGCACGTAAATTGTTTTTAGTTTTCCTTAGAGAATTTACAAGCCTCTTCTTAATAGGGGTTTTATGACTTTCCTCAACGCTGCTGTCAAGTTGATTGGGCAATAATTTACTCTTCTTGCGTTTTTCTTAAATTAAAACAAAACATTTGCTGGTTTTCAGGAACTAGTTACTTTTGCTTTTTTTATTAAAATAAAAATTTCCGTTGTCTTTTTTTTGGCTACATTATATATGGCGTTTTGACTGCTTGCCGCCGCCTGATGAGACCGGCCGGTTAATTCCATATATCGTCGCGGCCTCACACCATCTCTTACACAGGGATACTACGCACCGAGACCTCTATATGGACACTATTTGGTCCTGGACTACGTTCACTGCTAAAGTATTCTTGCTGGTTGGTCAGTAAGCTACTGTGCTGGCCGTAATTACTCTCCAGAGGTAGACTGGCCTTATAAGCCCATCCCCAAACCATCTTTTCTCCTCAATATGGATATACACACTGAGAGGTGTACCTATCATCTGGGTATAGATACATTGAGAGTTCACTCTGGCTCTGGATGATGTCCACATTTTTATTATTCTTGAGAGTTGGTGTCCTTAATAACCCTCCTGAGATTGGCTGGCATTAAGGCCGACACTAAACCAATCCTCACACGGAAAAAATTCCTCATATGCCTGATCTTATTCCTGTTTTAGAGACGACTAGAATTTGGTTTGCTTCTTTTTCCAGCGAATCTCTATATACAGGCAGTCAGACCTTATTTGTTATGACCACAAGTACAAAACGGAGACGTTTGGGCAAGTTTCTTTTTATCTGATGTCTCTGTTTTGTAAGTAGTAAAAGTGCCCGGGAGTTAGGTACCTGTAGTGGGTTGCATCATGTGTTAAGGTCAATCGTTGTCCTAAATTACCCTAGAAAGACCTTGATAAATTAAACAGCATTCCTGTCCAAAACTTTGGAAAACGTAAAACAAACACACAGTCTTCCTCTTTTCTGTTATGTAACCGTTTGTTCCAAACAATTATTCCACGCCAAAAGAAAATATTATTTCATCATTGCTCACGTTGCGGTTATTGCTAAAACACTGTGCTCGTATTCTGTGTACAACTGTACAGCAGACGCTCTTAAGTGTCTTGAGCACTACCGTACACTATCTTAATATTTACCTTCGACTTTTGTAGTTCTGATTCAATTTGTCGTTTGGACCCCGTGCATAATGGTATCCTTCACGGCTACAACTTAACCTAACCTGGCCCTGCTCTGGCTGTAACTTAACCCTGTGACCCATCTCCATATGAACCTGTCTATTTGATCCTCGTGTCTTGACTTGACCTTGAGTGGCTGCACCTGTGAGCCTCACTGTAATTAACCACTAATTAATTAAATTAATTAATTTCATGTAGCGGCTGATCACATGCAAGACCCTCAACCACATCAATCCTCAATCACACATTGTCTACTCTATTCAATTGTAGTCCGTCCCATTCATATGATCTTATATCACCCCAAGTATTTTTCCAATAATCTCAGATCTATTTAATCTTTACTTATTAACTGAAACCTATTTTTAAAGCCTTGAGTTAAGGCATTGACACCATACATAGGGAGAATACTAGACTAGTAATTTCCTTATTTATCTGCAGAGATTCTTAACGTATCTTGAATATATCTATAGTACCTCTCTGACCTGCCTTTCTCTAACGTGATTCGTCTCTTGTGCAGAACGAAAAATGGGAATAAATGTTTTTCGTAATTTTGTATACTTTTGAATACTTTAATCATTGCTTCCTAATTAACGTACGCTCCTCCTGTTATTGATCTATTGCCGAAACTATATCCTATCCTGGTGTCCAAGTTGCTCACTATATGGACAATGTTTGGTCCGAAAAATCCATCTCCTCAGGTTCCTAAATCAACGATGGTCAAAAATGTAGAGCAACGTTTTTCAGACCCTTTCTTATGTTCTAATTCAATCTCCACCTATCCCTTCCAGGTGTAGTATAATTATACTGGTTCACCTGTTTCTCCTCATTATTGCCATACCTTTCCTTGCGTTCTTCAATATAATCTACCTTTGCTACTACCTCTCTGGGATTTATCTTGCATAAATTTAATTTGTTTTGCTACTAAAAATATAAATTTGATGCTCGTCCACACTGATATCCTCACGTAATTGGCAGATTTTAATATCCCTCCATCAAAAAAATATCCCTAACTCGCCATTACTCCACGTAAAATAGTTAACATTGATGTCGTCACTGTAAATGGAATGAAACTTTAACAAGTAGTTTTTCATCGTCATCACGCTGATATATCATCACTTTTATATTCATCTCATTAATGTATAGAGCACAAACTTGTAAATATTAATATACTTTTATACAATTTCGTGTCTGGACGACATTTTTTGCCTAAAGCTCATTCCGACTATGTTTATTTAGCTGAATGTAAATTATACATGAATATGATCTACACATTCGCATAAAATTACATGTAGAGCAAACTCTAAATGTATTCACGTAACTTCCAATGAGATTTATAAAGCACCAGCAACTGTATTAAGGGAAGACCGTTTTTCTCCGATGCATACATGAATCCTGAATGAAATGTAGTGTCGGACAAGGTGTTTTCTATTTCAAAAAAATCTTCACAGAATCAACTCTAACAAAAATTGTATGGAGAAACCTACTACACTTCCATAATATTTGAATGAAGGTGAAGAAAAGACCCAATACATGTAAATGCAATACTAAACCTGTTAAACCAAATTTTCAGATAAAACCTGCAACTGCTTATCAGCATCTTGATAAAGGATGTTGGTTTAATCCAAAAATTTGGTGTAACAGGCTTAATATTACATTTACACACGTATATTGGGTCTCTCCTTCACCTTCAACAATTCTATTATTATTTTGCTTAGCTTATAATAATGCGAGTATTTGCTAAATAGAAGAAGCTTAATTTGTATATGAATAATCATCATAAAAATAAAACTAGTATATAATAAACTTAAAATCAAATCAAATAGAAATGTTTTGTACTAAAATGGTGCACTATTTAAGTCCTTTTATAACTAAATAATTTTCACAAAAGGTGATCAAAGAGTATGCTTCAATAGGTGAAGTTTGAATAAACTTTGTAATTGCTATTCTGCATTTTATTTAAAAAATATAATACTCAGTTAATTATTTTAAATTACATTAAAGGATGTTTCAATTTTACAGACAACAAAGTGATGTTTTGAAGGAATGTTTATATAAAAAACTTCGTTCAAAGGCTTGGATGGAAGAATTTATTTTAAAAGATGGAATTTTAGGTAAGTAAACATTTTGAAAAGCAGAGAGGGGTTATAATACAGTTAAGCTAAGGAACAGTAAAGAACTGATACTGTATATGGAAAAATATTACTGAAGAGTGTTTCTTTATATTTGAAATACTGTTGAGGAGATATACCTTTTATATACATAGAAAGAAAAGAAGAAATAGCAGCTAATATATAACAGCGAGATAAATTAAAATAGAACTGCATGAGCAGTAGTCAATGGTTTTGAAGGGATTGTACGAATAATAGTCCAGAGTTTTTTTAAAGTATTGTATAAGAAGTAATAGGAAGTAATCAATTCTTTGCCGTGTGTGAATGTTGAAAAAAGGTTTTAACTAATGGAACATTTGTCAGTCAGTGATCATACATGACTTTACGTATTTGAACTTAGTTTTCGAATGTGGTCTTATCTGTGAAAATGTGATCTCACATCTATTGGTCTTAGATGTGTCGTAGTACGACACATGGCCATAGATGATGTATCAGAAGAAGAGATATGATCTTAGATGATGTATCGTCTAAGAAGAAGAGACGTTGTCTTAGAACATGTATCATAGAAAGAGACGTGGACTAAAAGCATGTATCATAGGAAATATGGTCTCAGATGTATTGAAGGAAGGGACATGATCTCCGAAGATGTATCACAGGAGACGTGGTCTGTGGCACATTGTGTGTCCTTTACCACACTATGTCTTCTGTGGCACACTGTTCTGTGATATACTGTGTGTCCTGTAACACTATGTCTTCTGTGACACACTGTGTGTTCTGTAACATACTGTGTGTTCTGTGACACTATGTGAAGCAGTGTGTTTTGTGACACATTAAGGCAAACTGTGTGCTCTGTGACATACTGTGTGTTAAACAGCAGGGAGCTTGAGGAGTATACAGAAGTTTAGGAGAGGGTATGTCTGTATGTAGTAGTTTAGTTCAGCTTTGGGATAAAATGCCCAACAACCTTTGGAGTGTTTCGGTTAACACAACCTCTCGAGGGTTATTAAGGCAACCACAACATCTGGAAGGTTATTAAAACAACTACAACCACTGGAGGGTTATTGTGGTAACCGCAATAGCTAATTGACTAACCAGTAAGTTTGATATTAGGCTTAAGGTCTATACCAACCTCTTGGTCTTAAAGGGTTATTAAGACCATCAAAATATTCAACTGACCATATAGCAAGTATATTTTAGTCTTGAACATAGTCCTGGACTTAAGTAAACTGTCAGTGTATATACACTATACTCAAGGGTTGAAGTATACCTTGGAGGTACACTTTTCGGTGTGTATATATATATATATATATATATATATATATATATATATATATATATATATATATATATATATATGTCGTACCTAGTAGCCAGAACGCACTTCTCAGCCTACTATGCAAGGCCCAATTTGCCTAATAAGCCAAGTTTTCATGAATTAATTGTTTTTCGACTACCTAACCTACCTAACCTAACCTAACTTTTTCGGCTACCTAACCTAACCTAATCTATAAAGATAGGTTAGGCTAGGTTAGGTTGGGTTGGTTAGGTTCGGTCATATATCTACGTTAATTTTAACTCCAATAAAAAAAAAATTGACCTCATACATAATGAAATGGGTAGCTTTATCATTTCATAAGAAAAAAATTAGAGAAAATATATTAATTCAGGAAAACTTGGCTTATTAGGCAAATCGGGCCTTGCGTAGTAGGCTGAGAAGTGCATTCTGGCTACTAGGTACGACATATATATATATATATATATATATATATATATATATATATATATATATATATATATATATATATATATATTCCTTCGGCAGAGGTTAGGAGCAGCAGAGTTAACAGGGTAACCACGAAACCTCTGTATATGAGAAGGGAATTTTTTGTCTTAAGTTTTGATAAATCAATAACAGTTGGGTTGTAGGTTATGCAATTGTGGTCAAGTTCTTTGTCAAGTTACATAAAGACTACGGTTTCCAGTATGAGTTTCTAGGTATGAGTCCATACAATTGTTGTGAACGTTTATAACATAATCATTGTTTTCTTTGTCATCTAAATGTATGGTACAATAATATATTTTTGCACAATAAAAAATATATTATAAATGCTTGTATCATTATTTATGTTACAGATATCCCTCAAATATGCTTAGAAAAACATACAAAGAATATACATGTATATATTATTCCACATGTTAGCTATACTAGGTGGCCTGCTATTACAAACAAATAGCCTACATCATCCTATATCAGTGTAGCCTATATTAGAAATTGTTACAAATAGTGCTTGCCATTTTTTCCCATGCGCATTGACATAGCAACCGTTTAATTATGCATTCGTTCTCGATTCCCAATAGGGAATCCCAGATTTGAATCCTGGGCGAGACAGAAATTGATGGGCACGTTTCCTTTTCACCTATTGCCTCTGTTCATCTACCGGTAAATAGGTACCCGGGAGATAGGCAACTTTTGTGGGATTGCATCCTGAGGAGGGTCAATAGTTCCAGGCCCTCGATATCAGGCTAACGTATATAAACACCCAGCTAGGCTGGCTTTAATATAGCATTATCACAGTGTCCTCTCCCATCAATTTCTAAAAAAATAGATGCAGTAATTTGCTTTAAAATTTTATGCTATGACTATATTTTTAGATAATAATTTAGGCACCTATTAACAGTTTACGAACAGTAAACTTTCTTCGTAAATACAAAACCTCAGCGTAGAGACTGAGCTCCACCCCATCAACCATTTCGTATCGGGGGTTCAGTTCATTCTCCTCGTAGCTGACCAGCTGAAACCCCAAGGAAGCCAGACCTTGTAGGACTTTGACGTAGGAGGCAATAGTGGCTCGTTGAGTCTCTGGCTTCTGCTGACGTAAGTCGTCCAAGTGGATCTGGCAACACCCATTAATTTGTTACAAACTTAATGGCAAGAATAGGATTTGGTACATGACTTAATAATAATTTTATTATAAAAAGATAAAAATAATATATGCACTATATGGATTTTATTTAGTTTTATTAACAAAGCACAAAAACTTAAAAAATGATGTAAATTTGTATTATTTTGCCTTAGATGAGAGGAATATTAACGTTGGCTAAACGCAAAATTAAATCTGTTTGAAAGTCAATAGTCAGCAATATTTAAGGAGATTTGGCTTGAGATAATGTACTGAGAATAATATAACACTAACCAAAATATTAGAGCAGGCTGGGACGTCGACTGAATAAAAATCCTTTACAAATTTGTAAAACAAAATTAAAACCAGCCCAGTTTTGAGCGTATGCGCCCAAACATATTTCTTTACGTTAAGGAACACTTCTGAACATCGAAATTATTAAAATTGATGATAGAGACCTGGAAATAACATGATGTTTATTTAATTTATTACTGAAATCAATCCCGCAAACAAACGGAGAATATACTGACGATGTAGACTAGAAAGTAGAATATACTAGACGACGCAGGACTTGGAGCTGATTGTATAGTTCCACTTTAGGTATAAAGTGGAAAATATGACGGAGTTACCACTGCATGTGCTCGAACACGAAAGTCCTGCACAAACTAAAACAAAGATCTGCATCTTACTGTCAGAGCTGCATTGCTCCTCTTACGGTCACTCATCTTGTAGTAGAATGTTCTGACATTTTTATTTCCCACTTTTCCCATACGACACATGACCCTCCATAAAATCCTACGTGAACCTGATCTCTTTCAAATCGACCATAATTTGTCATTCTTTTATCGTATTGATGTACATAAACAGTCTTTTACAGCCATTCTGGCTAAGTGTTGTTTACAAAAACTTGTTACTGAAGGAGAATGAAGCGTAAGACTCACCTCGAGGGAGAGCTGTGATACGGAGTCGAGAACATTGGTGTTGTCGAGGACATGTTGCAGCACTCCCCACTCCTCGCCTTCGATGTCCAGCTTCATGTAATCCACCTGACGCCCGTCGTGTCCCAGGCTTCTGTGGTGATAAGCCCGTGAGGGAAGTTGTGGTACCAGGGGTAGTATTGATGCGGTGGTTGTGGTGGCATTAGTGATGGCGGTGAAGATTGCGGTGGTGTTCAGAGCGTAGCTCTCATCCTTTGACTACACTTAGATACACACACACACACACACACACACACACACACACACACACACACACACACACACACACACACACACACACACACACACACACACACACACACACAGGAACCTGTACACCAGTTGATTGACAGTTGAGAGGCGGGACCAAAGAGCCAAAGCTCAACCCCCGCAAGCACAAATAGGTAAGTACACACACACACACACACACACACACACACACACACACACACACACACACACACACACACACACACACACACACACACACACACACACACACACACACACACACACAGGAACCTGTACACCAGTTGATTGACAGTTGAGAGGCGGGACCAAAGAGCCAAAGCTCAACCCCCGCAAGCACAAATAGGTAAGTACACACACACACACACACACACACACACACACACACACACACACACACACACACACACACACACACACGATGCTCATATCAAGAGGATAACAGCAGCAGCATATGCCAGGTTGGCTAACATAAGAACGGCCTTTAGAAACTTGTGTAAGGAATCTTTCAGAACATTATATACCACATATGTCAGACCAATCCTGGAGTATTCGGCACCAGCATGGAGTTCATATCTAGTCAAGCATAAGACTAAAATGGAAAAGGTTCAAAGGTTTGCCACCAGACTAGTACCAGAGCTGAGAGGTATGAGCTACGAGGAGAGACTACGGGAATTAAACCTCACTTCGTTGGAAGACAGAAGAGTTAGGGGGGACATGATCACCACATTCAAGATCCTCAAGGGAATTGACAGGGTTGATAAAGACAGGCTGTTTAACACAAGGGGCACACGCACTAGGGGACACAGGTGGAAACTGAATGCCCAAATGAGCCACAGAGATATTAGAAAGAACTTTTTAGTGTCAGAATGGTTGACAAATGGAATGCATTAGGAAGTGATGTGGTGGAGGCTGACTCCATACACAGTTTCAAGTGTAGATATGATAGAGCCCAATAGGCTCAGGAACCTGTACACCTGTTGATTGACAGTTGAGAGGCGGGACCAAAGAGCCAGAGCTCAACCCCCGCAAGCACAACTAGGTGAGTACACACACAGGCCTAGGGGGCCTTGTAGCCTGGTGGATAGCGCGCAGGACTCGTAATTCTGTGGCGAGGGTTCGATTCCCGCACCAGGCACAAACAAATGGGCAAAGTTTCTTTCACCCTGAATGCCCCTGTTACCTAAATAGGTACCTGGGAGTTAGTCAGCTGTCACGGGCTGCTTCCTGGTGTGTGTGTGTGTGTGTGTGTGTGTGTGTGGTGTGGAAAAAAAGTAGTTAGTAAACAGTTGAGAGGCGGGCCGAAAGAGCAAAGCTCAACCCCCGCAAACACAAATAGGTGAATACACACACACACACACACACACACTTACGCACTATCACTAGGAACGCATCTTAACTCACAATTATGGGGGACTACAACCATGGCAAGATAAACTGAGAAAACTAAGAAACTCCTAGTGGCAAAGACATGTAGAGAGCTAAACTGGTGGAGGCAGCAACTATAAAAAATATAGTTTTAAACACTAGAGGGTACATGTCCAAAAACCTTTTAACTCTTGTTAGCTCATAAGTCTTACTCTATTTTTTTTTCTAGAATATGAACCATTGAAATCGTTTAACAACCAAGTCCAGAATTACTGCTGGGTAAATAGAGTGTAAGCAATGAAGGAACAGTCTAGTCGTCACTCCTTGCTCTGGTGCTCGAACTCGGAACATTATCACTTGCTAGCAAAGCGAGTGAGGGAGCTAACCACTACACCAGAAGTCTAATGTTTTAAGCAAACATGTCAGTGGAGCTACGAGAGTTAGGGAACATGATAAGCAAGCCAAACTAGACATATTTGTTGGACATATTGAATTTTTTAGGTCCTATTGTTAATGAAAAATCCCTATGTGCTGAGATTTTATTGTCTATAGTGGAAATATGTGTGAGTCATTAAAGGTGAGGATAAGGTGATCAGGTTGATGCAGTTGCAAAACAAAACAAAAATATGTTCAGTATTTGTTCTGTTCCTTAATCATTTAATCAATGAACGAGGAGCCAAAAATACAATACAGAAAAGGAAAACCAGAGGATGGAGGATTATTAAGCACTACTAAATGAGGCAATAGACCTGGCAAGAAATCATGCTTCTATGTTGTTGTATTCAGCTGAGGAATGCGTGAGTTTACCTCTGTATGTCGGACATAGTTTGATAGCGAACAGCGGGCTCACAGCGGCGACCATTGGCGGTGTTCTCGCAGAACCTGAGGTAAACACGGCATATTGTTTCATTTATTTATATGTAAATGTAAGAAGGTACAATGGGTAATGAATGTAAATATTTTAGTGATGGCACATTCTTGTAATGTCACTAACACGCATGGCGTTTCGTCCAATTCTTGAAGCTTATACATAATTTACAGTGAATTTTAAATTACAATGTAAACAGTCAAAACTATTGACTTGGGTATAAAACAACTAAAGCAACATTTATGAGGCTAACTTCGATGAGTCCTCCTTCCAAGGCCCTAAACACCTTTAGGAATAGATGTTTTTATATCAGCGCAAGATGACTTGCCAGCGCTGCTCGCTTAGGAGGCGGTTTAGGAAAGACTCACCTAAAGCACTCTAATGCTAATTGGTGCAAATCCCAGTGTCTGATCCTTGGCTATAACATCTATATCATCTATATCAACCAGAAAACACTCTTAGATCAAAACTCTCTTTAGTTACCCATCGCGAAGGCGTACGTTACGAGAAGACATACTAGACGTAGTCAGGGGCAAGACTCACCTAAAGTAGCCACTTCTGACACCGATCCTCGATTTGTGGAAAAAGGCTGAGGGACCGAGCCGGAAATCGTAGATTTCATGGTGGTCGTCGTGGTCGAAGGCGTGAACCTCGCACCCAAAGTCCTATAGAGACAGGAAGAACGTGGGAGAGCAGGGACCAAGATGGAAGTGGGAGAGCAAGGACCAGGAGGCAAGTGCGAGTGGAAAGAGGTGCAGAAGAGAATAGGATGAATGAGAATGAACAAGGAAATGGATTCGACAGGAATTTACATATTTTTTGTATTTTAAAGTTAGATGATACCAGATATGATTAATTTTCGCTTGCTTGAGGAACCGGCAAAATATTTCCATATTTAGATGATCAAAAAATTATTTCACACAAAATTTGCATGTGCTTAAATACAGTCATTTGTTCCGTTGTGGAACATGGGCGTCACCTGCATGTGTTCGTCGAAGGTGAAGTCGTTGCCAACCCCAAAGGAGTAAATGAGGCAGTGGAGTGGGCGGAGTTTAACATCAGCATCCAGACACACGAGCTGGCAACAGTTGTTCGCATGATAAAGCACTTTAGGTAACTTGTAAAATGATTACCATAACAATATTAAGTAATCCTATAAAAAATGTAGTTTTTGGATAGTAAATAGTGTTGAGGCATGTCCATTAGGTATCTTTAATCTGGTATTAACTTTAATCATCGACATTAACATATATGGTGAGAGATTCAACATATCAAACATTGTCTCTACTGGCTGTCACTCACGTGTCATATGCGTCGCTGACCCCCATCAGTAAACATATTATAACGAGAGTCCAACGCTACTGAAAGCAGCAACATCTTACAATATTAATTCTCGTAAGTCAACTCACATCAGGAGCGGTTAAGGGTCACTGGACTAACAACACTGCAAACAAGATATGGCAGGACTAATCTCAACAAGACTTAAGATACTGAACAAGTTGGAAAATATTAATCCAGAACCCTTCTTGAAAATGTCAAGTGTAACACGTAGAAGGGACAACAGATTCAAGTTCAACAAGCCACAGTGTTGGACAGAAAACAAGAGATGTGTTTTCACCCATAGGGCCTAAAACCATGGAGCCACCTACACGCCGAAGTCGTAAATACCAAAACATTACTTCAGTTTAAAATCCAGATAGACAAAATTCTCAGGAACAATGGGTGGGACTTTTGATAAGCCGCCTCTTTCTTGCCCCTGTCGAGGCCACTAGAGTGATAGTGGTCATCAAGTAAATCAAGGTAAAATACTAATGTTAGACTAAATAAGTGACTAACTTATTAGTCACTTATTTAGTTAGTCACTAATAAGTGACTAACTAAACAACGACTACACACACGTTGAGTTAGCTGCACTACAACTACTAACAGACTAACAAACGCAGAAGTAAATATACGTGGCTTTATTAAAGTCATCCCTTCATTCATTTGAAAATCCCACTTTCAAAACAGACCGTAAGACTCATAACATCAACGCTAACCTAATTGATACAGAGTAAAGGGTTTTAGATTGTCCTTTATAAGGATTCCGACTCACAAAGGTATTATCGATCATGATGGCAAGACGAAGCAACAAAGCTGTATGCGACAGACATGAAATAGAACAAGTCCTAGGCATCCCAGTTTTTAATGTTAAAACTCCACAACTCCGACAGCCATCACAAATGCTGAAGTGAGTCTCGTGGTCTAGTGTTGAATGGCCTTGGATCACACTGGTGATCCAAGGCCGTTGGATCTGGGAACGACTCGGGTACAATCCCTAGTCGGAACAGAAACGATTTGGAAGCGTTTCATTCGCCTGATGCCTCTATTCACCCAGCAGCAAAAATAGATACCCGAGAGAACAAATCCACAAGGGCCGTGATGAGGGTTCGAACCTACGCACGGGATGTTCCCAGATGCGCCTTAGTCGCATATATCACGTTATTGTGATTTCTGTATGTATAGATACCCGAGAGTTAGGTGTTGTGAGCTGTATCTTGGGGATGGTCAGTAGTTGGCCTAGTAGTTAGATACATCCATTCACACACTATCGGACACATAACATATGCACACAAACATACTCGCCCCGTCTCAACATTGGGGTGAGTGACCGGGAACCGATCTTTAAACGTTTAATTTGGGCAGGACGGAAGAGCGACGGTCTCGCTTCATGCAGGTCGACGTTCAATCCCTGACCGTCCAAGTGGATAGGCACCATTCTTTTCCCCTCCGTTCCATCTCAAATCCTTATCCTGACCCCTTCCAAGTGCTATTTAGTCGTAATGGCTTGGCGCTTTCATCTGACTATTCCCTTCCTTCTCGCCCAGCAGCAACTGGGAAGGGAAAGATCTCTGGAGTCAGAACAACTAACAGGAGTGAGAAGACGTCTAATTCTGTATCCACTTGTGTAAATACTAAAAGGAGCAGAAAGAAATGTTAATGAGAAAGTCCACCTGACTATTTTGATAGTTCACCCAGTTTGTTAGTACAAGCACATAGAATAAACTTAAATCCCATGGGATTTTATGTTCATTAGAACATATAGCTGACTTAGTAACCCCCCCCCCCCACCTCATATAGACTTGGGTGACTGTGCTGTGTAGACTATTTGAGATCGCTAATAACGTTACGGGCTATTCATGCCCATGCCACCTCTAGGGTGGCTTAATCTTTATCAATCAATCGCTAATAACGATTAAAACGTGAAGAATGTTTACAATTAACATTCATGGAGCCTAATGAGAAAAATCTTATGTTATCTTATGCTTGTTTAGAAAAATCTTATGCTTCTTTAAGCATTTATAAACTAACAAAAATTATCTCTTTCTTTACAGTACAAATTTCTTATGAAGCATTTGATAAATGTAATAAAGGCTACTATAGATATTAACATGAGGAGCATTAATTAAGATAATAGTTAATGTGTCAGCAGTGCGTTCCCGTTACTTACATAAGCCTGAAGTTGTAGTTAACATTTTAATAAATTATTAATTTGGGCTATTAATATAAAACACCGAAGACGAATACAGAAAAAGGAGTGTTTATTCAAGCGCTTGACCATGAAAGATAACCAGTTACCAGTGATCTTGTAGCAAAAGAAATAATACGCACCCATGATATCATCCGCACACCGGAATGGGGATCGAAAAAAAGCAAAAATTTTTTAAAAAATTTACCTTAGCAAAAATTACCTTAGATCCGTCGTAGGCACCGACGCAGGAACGTCCACCCACCCTCACCAGCCTCCCGCAGGTGGTGGTGGGCTGTGTTAAGAGCCGCTGCAGGCGGCGAACCCAACTCTTGCTAGCTTTCTGAAGGCCATCGTCAGGCCCCTTGAAGCGTCCAAGAGAACTTTGGGGTTTCTCGAAGTCGCGTCCCTGAGCCCCGCCGACGCTAGCTAAACGACGACCATTGTAGTACGCATTGTCTATTGTTTTGTTGTTCATAGATATTTCAAAGTGGAATGAGGTTGTGCCAGTGTGAGGTAGCGAAGCTGCTTGAGTTGCGTAGGTCCTTGCACTCATCCCCAGCACCGATTTCAGAAGCAAACAGCACGTCACCAACAACTTAGTACAATTTATGTCGCCCGAAATTTCTTTCATTTTTTCAACTCGATTCTTTCAGTAAATATTAATGTGTTATTGCGATTTTATTTCTGTACAGTTTTAATTTAACTCTTATTTCATATTTCATTAAATAGAATGTTGCTTATAAACATTCTTCATACATGATGCTCCACACACACACACATACTTCGTGATTACATATTTACGATTATATACAACGTTGCCTTCAGTTGCCTTTTCAATCCACAAAGTCGCCAACAAAAAATGGATTTACGCAAATAATAATTGTGTTCTGTATTTATATACGACTGGCCTGAGTTTTACAACGTTGCAGGAAACGACTGGCCTGAGCTTTACAACGGTGCAGAATACGACTGGCCTGAGTTTTACAACGGTGCATGATACGACCGGCCTGAGCTTTACAATGGTGCGGGAACAATCATAATAGTCCAGCTGAGATCCTCACCTCTCAACCCTCTGATGACACGTCATCACTTGCTGAAGCAGGAAAACCAGACGTTATATCCCGTTACTTTTGTTTTGCAATGATTTCCTTAAAATTTTCATTAGGTATGTACGAGTATATATATATATATATATATATGACAATGTCAGACCACGGAGGAAAAAAGAAACAGGAATTTCCTTAAGTACTTTCGTATATTAAATACATCTTCAGAAGGTCCTTCTGAAGATGTATTTAATATACGAAAGTACTTAAGGAAATTCCTGTTTCTTTTTTCCTCCGTGGTCTGACATTGTCACATTCTTAATCACGTGTTTATTTTCGTGATATACACACACACACACACACACATATATATATATATGTCGTACCTAGTAGCCAGAACTCACTTCTCAGCCTACTATTCAAGGCCCGATTTGCCTAATAAGCCAAGTTTTCCTGAATTAATATATTTACTATAATTTTTTTCTTATGAAATGATAAAGCAACCCTTTTCTCTATGTATGAGGTCAATTTTTTTTATTGGAGTTAAAATTAACGTAGATATATGACCGAACCTAACCAACCCTACCTAACCTAACCTAACCTATATTTATAGGTAAGGTTAGGTTAGGTAGCCAAAAAAGCTAGGTTAGGTTAGGTTAGGTAGGTTAGGTAGACGAAAAAACATTAATTCATGAAAACTTGGCTTATTAGGCAAATCGGGCCTTGAATAGTAGGCTGAGAAGTGCGTTCTGGCTATTAGGTACGACATATATATATATATATATATATATATATATATATATATATATATATATATATATATATATATATATATATATATATATATATATATATATATATATATATATATATATATATACAGTAGGTTATATATAAACCCCAAAGTAGGTAATGATGATAGAGTTACAAGATACAACTTCTGCAGTTACCTTGGTTCCCAAGCCAATATGCAACTGGAAACTACACACCCCAGAAGGATTCAAACCCAGACAGCATGGAACACTATGCACCTTGGCGTATCTGGTACCTTAACCGCTAGACCACACTAACTGTACAAAAATGTTGGTAGTCATGAGACTATTTATCCAATATCTGACAGCGCTCATTGGTCAACTTAGGCATAGATATTTCATCGAATCACCTCACTCGGTGGGGCTACGTGACAACACAAATGCGAACAAGCTTGAATTGTTCCCAAGGCAATATGCAACTGAAAACTCCACACCCCCAGAAGGATTCGAACCCAGATAGCTAGGAGCACTATGCACCTTGGCGTATCTGGTACCTTAACCGCTAGACCACACTGACTGTACAAAAATGTTGGTAGCCGTGAGACTACCAACATTTTGTCCGAGTGCTGACCAATGATGTTGGATTATCCAGCATCCGACAGCACTTGGTGGTCAAATTGGGCATAGATATTTCATCGAATCACCTCACTCGGTGGGGCCACGTGAGCAACACAAATATCCTTCTAGGGTGTGGCGTTTTCAGTTGTATATTGACTTTGGAACCATTCAAGCTTGTTCTCATTTGTGTTGTTCACATGGCCCCACCGAGTGAGGTGATTCAATGAAATATCTGATTGAAGATGACAGGTCAAACTAAATACCTGATTGAAGATGACAGGTCAAACGCCTTGTCAGCTTGTTCGACGTCATGCCTATGTACAGTACAGTGTTAGATTGAAGACTACATCCTCCGTGGGGGCAGGTGTACATATATACTGTACCACGTTTGACTGTGGTAAAGGGTTCTCCATCAGTTTTGGGCTGTTTTTAATGAGGTCGGTAGTCTTCTTTGTTTTATAGAATACTGTACTGGCATAATTAGAGCTATGTTTTGGTTAGGAGTTGTGCTTTTTATTTCTTTCTTTCTTTCATTATTCTTTCTTATTTTTTATGCTCACTGTGCATGGTTGATTTGTAATATAATTTTATTGGATATGTTATGGTTTCTGTTCATGTTTTTCATTTTTTGGTTCATTTCTGAACCAAAAGCATTTCTTTCTCATTTCTTAAAATGCTTTGAACTGTAAAAGCATTTCTTGTGTAGTCTCAGATATTAGATAATGCAAGAAAAATTATACTACTGTACATGTATCTACATCTACATGAGTCCACCAATTAAGTTCATGGTGTTTTCGTCTTCACTCGCGTTTTGTATAAATATTCCAGCTACTTGCACTGTGTTAGAAATGCTTTATTCAAAATAATCTCCTTTCCTTATCAATGTACTTAATCCCCCAGTCTTGCAGCTTGGCAATGCCTTTCCTGAAAAATTCTTTTAGGCTCCTCAAATAATAATAGTAATAATATTAAAAAATTTATTAAAAAAATACTCTATACAGAAGAATGCAATACAATGGTTGAATAGTTATTACATGAAAAGCATATTAATAAATCCAAAAGTATACAAACATCACTGTATTATTGCCAACATACTGTACATTATTTGTATCCACACAGTACCTACCGAAGGTTTGGCTGTGGCTGGCCATACATATTGAAATAGAGGAGCATTAAAATCTCATCAGTTTTGTTTTTCTTAATAGACTAATGCTTTCACATTGTGTTTGGATACTCATTTTGATTAATTCTACTACCTATTTACTAGAAGGCAACAATACTTACACCATCAGAACCTCAAAACAATGTGGTTACAACATTTACAGTCCCCCGCAACAACATAGTAATCAAACGATGTGTTTAAGTATCATACCTTATTTGACAGAACAGTAATTGGTATGATGTATTTTGGCATCATCCAATTTCAAATTTTACAATGTTCCTGAACCATTCGTTTAAGTCAAGGTGACTCAACTCTATTCTTGTATGCCAGTCAGCCCTTTTCCGATGTCTCAGTTTGGGGAATGTTTGGGGATGCATGTCTGTACTGTACTTGCATGTAGGGCTTGAATCAAGGTTGCCTACCCATGTTGTCTTTAATGGTCTTCTGGAGACATAGTTCCCATATCAAGCGTCCTTGGCTTTTACAGTCGTTGTTCCCCACTAATGATTAAACATCCATGAAATGTTGGGCAAGGCATTGTTATCACTCCTTTCTGGATTATTTCCGTTATTCCTGGTGGCTAAGATGGGCACTCCCAAGCTCCAATTGTTTCTAAGTTTGTCAAGATTCAATGCACATTTTTCCCACCCTTCATTCCAGTGTTGAGTGGGTCCAGGTCCTTTCAGCATGTTCCTGTTAATTCAAAACTTTAGGAACATCTAGGGTTTCAGATTGGACACAACATGTCAATTTTAGGCTCAACTTTGCACCCATGACGTTCACAAGGCTGACCTGTGTGGTTCTGCGGAAGCATTAGCTTCATAGGTTATCGTTCTTGGAATAACTCAATGATTAAGTTAGTATGGCTCTTCAGTTATTGTGCTTGTCTGATAGCCAAGAAAAAGTCATGCGGGTACTGAGCCAGTTGAGGATTTTAATAAACTACTGAAGCCTACTCTTTTGTCTTGCAGAGTTTACAGTGGTTAAGGCTAGGTTGCAATTCCCAGTTGACATTCCTCTTGACTTGGCATTGAATTAGTTTGACTGATTTCGCGAAGCCTTTTCCAGCAGGAGCTCAGGAGGCTTCTGGGTCATCTAAAATTTGCTTGTTACCATTTTCCTGGAATGGATTTGGCTGAAGATCTTGTATTGTTTTGTATGGTCAGGTACTGTACAAGCATATGCATTGTGAAGCACAAATTATGAACCTGTAAGCTTTAAGGTCTCCCCTTTGGCACTTTCCTCTTCTGACTCTTTATGGGGGTTCAGCAACACAGCTCCCATTCCCTCAGTCTGTATCAAGCTTGCAACAGGGATGTACTTGGCATGGATTCGGGATTTGTCTTGAACACTCAAGTGGGATAGGGATACCGGTGTTGCTATCATGTTTCAGCCACACTATTGTGACTCATCATCTGCATGCTTGGATAGAGTAAGGAATGGTTCTTATTTGTTGCTTTATATGCCTTCCCTCGCTGGGAAATTATTGTCAGGGTTTGATTAGCCGAGACACTTCTTGCATCTGGTACTTTGGGTTTCTTTCTTTGACTTGGAATGTCAGTTGGGTTGTTCTTGATTACCTGTTCAACTCTATGCCTGAGTGTAATTTACAGATGGTGGGAAATCATGCATGCCTCTTTCCCAGACTCCAGCTGCTGGCTCACATTTATGGTGGGGCGCACTTACAGGTTCTCGTTTTGGCCTTTGGTTTTTCCCCTTCCTCTTCCACCTTCCCTCACCATGCCTGAGGTAAAGTGTTTACTCATTTCCCAGGTTGGGGGACTACTTGCTCAATATATATGTGTGTGCTTCTCGACAATATATACTGTTCCAGGAGTATGTGATGTCTGCTCTACATGTCCATAGTTGTGTGTAAGCCCTGGTCATGTTGTATGGCATCTCTGTTATTGCCCCTGGAGCTGTATATAACACTCCTTGTGCCAGGAGGATGCATTAGGAGTTGCACTGGGAAGCATTCTTGGAGGTTCAAGGGGTTGCATGTCCAATGGTTCCTGGGCTGTATATGCATTAGTTCTCGGGGTTGCCAGTTCCCGGTCCGTGTCCACTATTTCCCGACCACAAAACCCATTGGTTTCCAGGCTGTGTTCCTCTCATGTGCCTTTGGGGGAAAGAAGACTCTAGTAGTGACTTGGCTGGCAAGCCTTGCTGTACCAGTATGTAGCTTGGTTGATGTCTTGGCTAATGATCAAAAGTAGGAAGGTAAAAGAACACTTAAATAAAATAAAAGTATAATAACAAACTATATACTGAACTAGTAATGCTACTTAAATGTACTCACTTGTAATTCAATGTAATGTAGAATTTTCCCAACATTTTGCCCTAGTGTTCCACTTAAATACCCAATCCAGTTTACAGGACAGACAAGTAAGTTGAAATACACTAAATCTGCTAAACATGAGAAACAGCCAGTATTGGACATCAACCACCACAGAATGCAAAGGGTTAAAGCGAGTCCAGACCTATAAGGGCACTGCAAGCCAACCACAGTAACAAATGAATGTTGACATAAAAAGTTGACTGCATATAAAAATCACACAGCTCTGCCTTGAAGATTCCAAGAGAAGTCTTGGGGCAGTCAGCATATATAGGTTTTATCAGTAAAAAATTTGTGTCAACAGCCTTTGACCTATCTATGAACAGAGCATGAAAGGTAAAAAAAAAAATAGTTTAATGAAAAGGCATTTCCTAACAGTAAGAGGGTAATAAGACCACAGCCATTCAGGTTAGAGCCTTGCAAAATTTCACAAGTGGGACCCTCCATAGAGGAAAGGAAGGTACAGAACGAGGGGGGGAGATATTGCAGATGTGTACCAAGAATATCATGTAAATGGGTCATCCTTGTAGTAAAAGGGAGAGGAAACACACACACGAGAGGGGCAGTGGTTGAAGATTGAAACAAGGAATTTGGGTTTTATAAAGACATTACAGAGTACCGAAGTCAATACAATCCAGTAGAGGCAATTGGGAATGAACAAATAGCACCTGAGCCAGGGTGCAACCCTTAGTATGATGCAGAGTATCAAGATGATGAAGGGTTGGAGAAGCAGAGAAAAAGGTGGGGAAACCACAGTCTAATTTAGACAGCACAAGAGAAGAGCATATGTCTATTGGCTCCCAAGGAAGTATGGGATGACTTTAGGTGAGGCAAGGGCCTTAGAGCATTCAATTGGCAGGTAAGAGTAATGAGGCAACCGATACAAACAGGTGTAAAAAAATGACCCTTTAAGTGTTTACTTAGCATTATCCTTATATGTAAGGGAAATTCCACAGGATGACGACGATGGATGAGAATCATGCTTCCAAGTTAGTCGTAGCACAAGTCGTTGTAGATAGGAGTTACTTCAGATAATGTACCCTGCCAGGGAAGTAGCTAAGATACAGAGAGGATCAAGGGGAATGAGCCAAGGACAAAGCTGGGTCAGGGCCCAATGCAGCCGGAGCCTGATCTTCAATAACAATATGATTTGAGGACCTGGTTGCTCATCCCAAGAGTCTGAAATTGAGAAGAGTTTTTAATTTCCATGAGCATGCATGCAATTTGTAAAGATTGGGCTCTGCAGCCAAGGAATACCACCTACCAGAACGGCAAAGGAGGCTGTGTTTGAGCCTGCGCAGCAAAGGGTGCGTTATCCCAAGCAGTGCTCCTCCATTTCAATAGGGGTAATCCTACCACATCAAACTTTCTCCATCAGCAGTGTAAAGTCCTCTTTCTCCTGGGTGTCTCAAACACAATAGTGGGACATACCAAACACAGGGATGATGGTTCCGACATCTGTAATACAGTGTATAATCTTATGTTTAAGTGAGTTAGGTTAAATAATAAAAATTTACATATGCCAACATATTTAGTGGATTGATTAGTGATTATTTACTGCATATTTAAAAGTAAGAAAATTATCTTATTTAACATGATAATTTAGACAAAATTAATATTGGTTCTCAAAAGCACACATTCACTAAATCAAAATAACATTTCTACATCTAAAATAAAGTAATAAATTTAAGATCAGAATTAAGATAACAGGAATAATGTTCTTCAGAGCAAATGAATGTATATTCATTGCCTTGCTTACTGTACAAGGTAATACAAGAAGTTAGAAGATATGAAGTACGTAACACCCCTGCCTTCTTTTTATTCAGGTCTTTGAGAAATTTATATCAGAAGAACTCTGACAACATTTTGTGGCATACTAAAGCTTCATAAGTAAAGTTAGGGACTACAAAGCTGTTATTGTGTTCCCTTTAAGGAATACCACTGATAAGAAATTTAATATTCATCATTCTCATTAATATTACTAATTAGTTTTAAGCAAAATATACACATTTACCCTTCATAAAGTTCATTTTGACGAAAGTTTTTCTACTACCATTTAATCAATAAACCATGATAAATTTTCGTCATGTGCTGAATACTCTGAGACAGCATTCATCTTGGCAACTAGAGATAATATATATATATATATATATATATATATATATATATATATATATATATATATATATATATATATATATATATATATATATATATATATATATATATATATATGTGTGTATATCACGAAAATAAACACGTGATTAAGAATGTGACAATGTCAGACCACGGAGGAAAAATGAAACAGGAAATTTCCTTAAGTACTTTCGTATATTAAATACATCTTCAGAAGGACCTTCTGAAGATGTATTTAATATACGAAAGTACTTAAGGAAATTTCCTGTTTCATTTTTCCTCCGTGGTCTGACATTGTCATATATATATATATATATATATATATATATATATATATATATATATATATATATATATATATATATATATATATATATATATATATATATTTTTTTTTTTTTTTTCTCATTCTCATTCTCTCTCTCTCTCTCATTCTCTCTCTCTCTCTCATTCTCTCTCTCTCATTCTCTCTCTCTCATTCTCTCTCTCTCTCTCTCTCATTCTCTCTCTCTCTCTCTCATTCTCTCTCTCTCTCTCATTCTCTTTCTCTCTCTCTCTCTCTCTCTCTCCCTCCCTCTCTCTCTCTCTCTCTCTCTCTCTCTCTCTCTCTCCTTCCTCACTGTTATTGTCTTCATTACTTCTTACATTATTATTCGTCAAGTTATAGTGTATCTGGTGTGTCAGTAACAATCCTGAATTTATCTTACTTCATTTCCTTGTAGATATCTTTTTCTAGGTTCAGCTTCAAGGTCAGGTCAAATTTCTTCTGAAGAAATTAAGCCTACAGAGAATGAAGAAGCAAACTGTGATTCACAATCTGAAATGATCTTGTGAAGCTTCTAAAGTTGATGGAGTTATAACTCTTGCTTTAGACCTATCTGTGCCATAAGCCATTTGGATATCATTTTCTTATATGTAAATGTTAATAAACTGTGTATTTGCACATACTAGTCTAATCAGATTAAATAACTACCTCATTCCTCAGAGACAACTTGACCAACTACAGCAAGTAATCACCTTTGGAAGTTTCTGAATAGTTGTGCAACCACTTTCATCCAGGCTGTAGATTCTGAAATCAAGTCATATTTGTTCAGAATCTCTTAAAATTCTTGCAAATTTAGTTGTTTTGGGGCAAATATGAGATTATTTTATCTCTGTAGGAATGAGCCCTGTAGTGCTGTGGTCAGCAAAGTCGGTTCAGAACTGACTAGCCTCAGATTCAATACAGAGACATTTGGGAATGTTTCCTTACACCTCCTTACGCTCACTTAGTAGTAAATAGGTACCCGGGAGTTAAGCAACCAATGTGGGTCGCATACTAGAGAAGGTCAGTCTAGCCTAAGAGGACCTCGCCTAACAGACTTCCTGTCCGTCATAATTGGAAAACCAAATCCTGTGTGACAGTTTTTACCAGCTAGTTAATTTTGTTTCTAGGCATCTGGAACTTTAACTCTATTCCTTACTATAAAACATATCTATGAATGTGCTATGAGTTTAATTGTTGTAATGTTGAACCTAAGAACCTTAATATTGTAAGGTTCTATGGTGTAATGTTCTTACAACACTGAACCTAATACAATATTGTAAGAACATTGAATTAAGTTCTTTCTCTTAAGTTACTTTCCAACTCATTACTTAAAATAGGTTTTATTAAATTAAAAGTTAAATGAAACTCTTTTGGATGTTGTTTGGAAAATATAATCCATGAATATGGCTTTGAGGATGTTATTATTAACAACAGCAATCCTCACTGAATGCACACATTCCTTTTAATTTATTTAATAATACTCTATTTGCAAAAGCAGCCATTGGTTTTCTTTGTACAAACTCTTGGTATGACTTTTAAGCTTGTAGTAATATCTGGAATCCAAAGAAAGATAGAATCATCAACCCTTTTGCTGTCACACTATTTCTGGCCCTTGGTAACTTCCCTGAGCACTGGCTCTGTTACCAGACATCCATAAAATTACCAGGCATCTGGACTTGTGCAGACCTACCAAACTCCAGGACCAGGAACTGGCATGCGCACAAAGGCAAGAGGAACATGAGATAGGGCAACCAATTCCTAATAAAACTGCTTAGAAAGTACTTCAAAGCCATGATGAATAGAGATGGTGGGGTACACGTAGCACACACAAGCATAAGAAGGCACTCCACCTCCTTGGAAAATAACAGTGGGCTCAAACTACGAGGCTCCCAAGTCAGACACCTGTTGCATGAAATGAAACTGGAGCCCTATCCCAAAATGTGGCCGCTACCTATCGCTATCATTACCTGTGATGGGGGCTCTATGCACTGATGACAACTGTAGTAAACTCCTTGATGTAAGCTCTTAATTGGTTTGGTCCGGGTAACAATTGCTTATACAGTTAGGGACTGTGCTGCCAATGGCTACCATGCTGTTGTCTGTTTTGGTCCTCTACTATTTTTTTCTTTGATATTGTAGTTTATTCAAACTCTCAAGACACCTTCTGCCTCTACTGAGGAAAACCAGATTTTGGTCTCAGGTAGGTGCTCGTGAATCAATGGGGCATGATGTGTGGCTCTTATGTAGGTCATCTAGCCAGGCGATACAGAGAAGGCCCTTCTTCAAAATATGATAAAGCCTATGTATTCAGCATGTATGTATAATTTGTAAAATGCCTCAAGGTTTATACAAGTGAAATAAGTCAATAACATTCTACCACACACCCACCTGATGAACATAACTACAGTATCTCCATTTGGTCTCCTTAATATTTGATGAAAATACTTCTCCACTGAAGAGAAAACATTTCAGGTAACTGCACATGATGAGTACTGTGTGATGGCTTCAACTGTTGATGATGGCACCACATTAATTCCATCAAATTATTAGACGTCAAGAGAATGTTGCTCACAAGCAGACCTTCCAGCTGGTATCCTGGGGACATAAAAGATAATTTACACCCTAGCAATATTCCATTCATAATATTTTATAATAACGACATCAATCGATGTATTTATACATTTACTAACCATATAAATAGTAAATTGCATTGCACTATTGTCAATTTTGCAAGTAAATAGTTGAATGACATCCATTTTTTTTAATATGAACATGTAGCACAAAGAAATCACAAGAATGTGATATATGTATCTATGAGAAAATATTGAAGCCATATACAGTAATGGGATAAAAATCCAGGGATGAGTGTTCAACTATATCATAGTCTCTCTTTACAGTGTAGAGAGAAACTACACCAGAACCATCAACCCTACTTCTGCTCAGGTTTTGGAGATACTATACTGTACATTACAGTATCAACCTCAGTACATTGTACTGTACTGAGGTTGGGGAGAGGGGGGGTGGGAGAGGGGGGGTGGGAGAGGGGGGGAGAGGGAGGGGGGGGGGGAGAGGGAGAGAGGGGGAAGGGGGGGTCAGGCCTTTCTCAAGAACATCTCTCTATCAGCGATCAATTATTCCTAGGCTGACTCCCATATGGAACTTGTTCGCTCAACAGGTTGATACATGGGGGATCAAGTCAACCAATCACATGAAGGCTCTGACGCACAGTTGCCTACTGACTCATCCTGTTCCTTATATGATAAATTACTTATCATGAAAGCATAAAGTCAAGTTTATTCCTAATGGATACAAATAATATTATGAAATATAGCCAGAATCACACTCCTTGGTGTATGAGTATTATATATATGTACAGTATGTGTATGTGTGTGTATGTATGTATGTATGTATGTATGTATATATATATATATATATATATATATATATATATATATATATATATATATATATATATATATATATATATATATATATATATATATATATATATATATATATATATATATATATATATATATATATATATATATATATATATATATATATATATATATAATTAGTATATTTTGGTAGCAGTCTTTCTTGTAAACATATGTTGTTGAATATGACCGAAAAGGTAAGATTAATAATTCTAACATGAATCTTCTCAATATTTCTTATGTTTTTCTTCACTGTCGGTGGTAATAAAAATAACAATTCTCCGAAATTCATTTTTTTAATTGTCTGACGCCTGAACGCGTTTCGTAATTCGTATTACATTTTCAAAGACTTAATTTACACACAAATTCTTCGTACTTATACTCTATTGGATGAGGTAATATGTATAAAAGTTTTGGGTGAGGTGACAAACACAAGACAGAACACGAAACAATGGGTATAAATTGGATAAGTGAACATATGAATGGAAGTAACTGCAGAAGGTCTATTGGCCATACTTCCTCTTGCTGCTTCCATATTGGTTCGGGGTCTTGAAGTAGGTAGAATATAGTTGTGCATTAATTGGCCGTTGATTGCTGCTGTTGACTTTTTGATGTGTAGTGCCTCGCTGGTGTCAAGCCGCCTGCTATCGATGATTTCTGTGTTGTTTGTCAAGATTTCTCTGGTGATGGTCTGGTTGCGAGAAGAGATTGTGTGTTCCTTGATGGCTCCCTGTTGCTTATGCATTGTTAGTCACCTAGAAAGAGACGTTGTTGTCTATATACTGAGTTCTTTGGGGCTTACAGTCCCCAAGTGGGCATTTAAAGGCATAGACAACATTGGTCTCCTTCAAAGCGTTCTGCTTCGTGTCTGGCGAGTTTTTCATGAGTAGATTGGCCGTTTTTTTGGTTTTATAATAAATTATCAATTGTATTTTCTGATTTTTGTCTGTAGGGATGACGTTCATATCAACAATATCGTTCAGGACCCTTTCCTCCGTTTTATGAGCCGTCGAAAAGACGTTCCTATAAAATAGTCTAATTGGGGGTACAAGAGTTGTGTTGGTTGACTCTTCAGATGTTGCATGGCGTTTTACCTTTCTTTTTTATGATGTCTTCAACGAAACCGTTAGAGAAGCCGTTGTTGACTAGGACTTGCCTTACCCTACAGAGTTCATCGACTTCGTTCTATCCTGAGCTGTGGCTTAGAGCACGGTCGACGTAAGCATTGACAACACTCCTCTTGTACCTGTCTGGGCAGTCACTATTGGCATTGAGGGACATTCCTATGTTTGTTTCTTTGGTGTAGACTGCAGTATGGAAGCCTCCGCTCCTTTCCGTGACTGTTACATCCAGAAAGGCCAGCTTCCCATTGTTCTCCATATGTGTGTGTGTGTGTGTGTGTGTGTGTGTGTGTGTGTGTGTGTGTGTATGTATGTATGTATGTATGTATGTATGTATGTATGTATGTATGTATATATATATGTATATGTATATATATATATATATATATATATATATATATATATATATATATATATATATATATATATATATATATATATATATATATGTCGTACCTAGTAGCCAGAACTCACTTCTCAGCCTACTATTCAAGGCCCGATTTGCCTAATAAGCCAAGTTTTCCTGAATTAATATATTTACTATAATTTTTTTCTTATGAAATGATAAAGCAACCCATTTCTCTATGTATGAGGTCAATTTTTGTTTATTGGAGTTAAAATTAACGTAGATATATGACCAAACCTAACCAACCCTACCTAACCTAACCTAACCTATATTTATAGGTAAGGTTAGGTTAGGTAGCCAAAAAAAGCTAGGTTAGGTTAGGTTAGGTAGGTTAGGTAGACGAAAAAACATTAATTCATGAAAACTTGGCTTATTAGGCAAATCGGACCTTGAATAGTAGGCTGAGAAGTGCGTTCTGGCTATTAGGTACGACATATATATATATATGTCGTACCTAATAGCCAGAACGCACTTCTCAGCCTACTATTCAAGGCCCGATTTGCCTAATAAGCCAAGTTTTCATGAATTAATGTTTTTTCGTCTACCTAACCTACCTAACCTAACCTAACCTAGCTTTTTTTGGCTACCTAACCTAACCTTACCTATAAATATAAGTTAGGTTAGGTTAGGTAGGGTTGGTTAGGTTCGGTCATATATCTACGTTAATTTTAACTGCAATAAAAAAAAATTGACCTCATACATAGAGAAAAGGGTTGCTTTATCATTTCATAAGAAAAAAATTATAGTAAATATATTAATTCAGGAAAACTTGGCTTATTAGGCAAATCGGGCCTTGAATAGTAGGCTGAGAAGTGAGTTCTGGCTACTAGGTACGACATATATATATATATATATATATATATATATATATATATATATATATATATATATATATATATATATATATATGTCGTACCTAGTAGCCAGAACGCACTTCTCAGCCTACTATGCAAGGCCCGATTTGCATAATAGGCCGAGTAATTTTCTTTATTTTCAATATTTTTTCCAAATAGTTTATTTGAATTATTATTATTATTTTATATTAAGACCATAATTTACTGACTTAGTTGTGTTAGTTTAGGTTAGGTTAAGATAGGTTAGGTTAGGTTAAGTAGGGTTGGTTAGGTTCGGTCAAATATCTATGTTAGTTTTAACTCAAATTTAAACAAATTAACTTATACATAATGAAATGGACAGATTTATCATTTCATAAGAAAAATTTGTAAAATATATAAATTCAGGAAAACTTGGCTTATTAGGCAAATTGGGCCTTGCATAGTAGGCCAAGTATGTTGTTCTGGCTACTAGGTACAACATATATATATATATATATATATATATATATATATATATATATATATATATATATATATATATATATATATATATATATATATATATATATATATATATATATATATATATATATATATATATATATATATATATATATATATATATATATATATATATATATATATATATATATATATATATATATATATATATATATATATATATATATATATATATATATATATATATATATATATATATATATATATATATATATATATATATATATATATATATATATATATATATATATATATATATATATAAACTTCTGATGACATTACCATGAGCTCTCATTTCATTGGTCAACAACTCTTTATAATAATTTAGTTTTTTAGTATACTTAATAAATGCCTTTGTTATTTTAATTTATAACCACAGGTTCTTAATATTGCAAATTTACAATATTCATTCTTATCAAGTTTGTTGATTTCTCTCATTTTGTATGTGGTGATCTGTATATTACATATTTATTCCAGATCTTTTTATTTCAATATTTTTTAAATATGGACATCATACAACTGCTGCATATTGTATGCCATTGATATGGTCTTCTGATGGTAATTTAGTATCCAGTCACACCACTTAACAATTCTTCTTGCCAAAGCTCTGTAGCTTTTCAAAAAATAGGTAGATTGTATGTGGCAGCTTCCAATGTCTGGTAGACCATTACTTAGAGGTCTTTTTCTTTTTTAATAAGCTGCATGGGTTATGTAGTCGATAATATTGTATTTATAGTGTGTACTGTTATGCCCTACACATTGGGTTTTGCATTTTTCAATGTTTGAGATCATTTGCTACTTTCCTGATCATTTGTGTAGTCCATGTAGATTGTTTTGTAAGGCCACATTATTGTTTTTGCTTACTATTTTATCATAAATATTTGTGTCATCTGCAAACTTTATAAGGTCTTTCATTATATTTACATCTATGTTGTTTACATATACAGTACTCGGTATTAAAAAAATGGTTGACCCCAAGATGGAACCTTGCAGCACTCCATTCAGCATTTTCCATCTGATTCTCGTTCATTTCAGATGACCCTATGCTTTCTTTGTTTCGACCATTATAATTATTATCCATTTTGGTATTTTACCATTGATTCTATATGCTTATAATTTTGGCCCATTCTTTCACAAAGCACGTTATCAAAATCCATGGACACTTTATTTAATGGAAATCATTCATAAAGAGCTGAACTATAAGAAGTGACCATATTCAACATCAAACAACAGGTCACAATAAAGCCAAGACAGAAAAGAAGAACAGACA